CTAATTTTGCTTCGCTTTTGACTTTTGTACAAGCATAGTTTGTTCTTTCTCACTGCAACATACTATTGCACTACACAACTACCGTATGCCTCGGTTTATCTGTCCTCCTAGTGGTGGTTGTTTAGCTTGCTTCCAGATTTTGACTGTTCCAAACATTTCTGTGCACGTCTTTCGGTGGAATAAATGCTTGCATTTCTCAGGTAGATCTACGGGCAGGGGATCCTTGTGCTAGGGAGGTTGTACATTTCCTTCTTGGTAGATACTGCTAAATAGTTCTTCAAAGTGGTGGTTTTTCTTAGATTTTTAAGGTGGAAGAATTAGCGAGTCAAGTCAAAGTTAGGATGAGTAGAGCCAGCGGGCCTTGGCAATGTTTTTATGATGGAGGGAGGAGAGAGGGGTTTGAAAGAGCAGCCAGTGCAGGAGAGGAAAATGTTTCAAGTGGGGGTGAAAGGAGTTTCATTGTGATTCTTTCATTTCCAAAGAGGGCTGAGACACTCCAGGTAGAGGAGCTCCATGCTTGGACCCAGGGGAGGGATCAGGCGGAGGTGAGAGGGGCTCGGAGGCCTTGCCACTCACAGGTGCTGTCGGAGGGTCCCGCCTGGGCCCGGCCTGAAGGTGCATGCAGCCAGTGTGCTTCCTCCATGGGTCACTTGGAACCCATGGTCGGAACTGTTGTCTCAGAGTTCGGCTGGTGCAGCACTGACCTCTTTCAAATGAGCACCTCTTTCAAACCCAAACCATAAGAGATGTTGGGGACACCTGGGAAGGATGCGCAGGTTTGAACACTGTTTGCGTCTCAACTGTGGACCCAGAGAAGCTGGAGCCCGGGCGGGGGCAGGAGCACTTACCCGGGTGATGGGGCAGATCGAGGTGGGCAGCAAAATATGGTCTCTGAGTTCCCCACCATCGCAGAACGTGGATAATTCACATTTGCGGTGAAACTGGAGGAGAAAACAGAGGTGAGAATGAGCAGAAGTGATCCAGGAAGCATCAGGTGTTAGGGTCCAGAGGCTTACTGGGGAGGCAAGGTGTCTGGTGCCCCCCAAATCCTGATGCACTGCTGGCTCCGGCAGGGTTGCCCAGTGTGTGTGTGTGCGTGTGTGCGTGTGGGGGTGAGGGAGCCGCATCTGCCTCGAGCGAAGAAAGGAGACCGAGAGCTATCCATGGCTACTGGAGCAGGATGGTCATGAGCAGGCCGGTGGCCCCACAGTGTGGCACCCCCGCGTCAATTTCAGGGCCCCCCTTGGATATCTGCTGCCCGGGAGAGAGCAGACTCGTGACGGGCCGCAAGTAAACTCCATGACTCAGCGTCTGCGTTTTGAGAGTTCTACAGTCTTTCTTGAGGCTGATACCTGGCCAGGGGGACAAGGTATAGTCCTAGATTGGCTTTGGTGGGCAGGTGGGACAGCTTATCGGCTGCTGGGGGCTCCTGGAGTCCAGAGGTGCTGTGGACTCTACTGTATGCAGTGGTTGGTGGCAGCAGACAGGCCTCTGGGCCAGGCAGTGGGGAGTGGATCTAAGAAAAGTGTGACTTCAGGGCGGGTGCCGGTTCTCTGGTGCCTTAAAGAGCAGGCATTCTAGTATCCAAGCCCTCTCCCACTCTGTCAGTGCCCCTGCCCCAAATGATACCCAGGTGCAGGACATTCATGGTCCAGCCTTCCGTCCCCAGCTGCCTGGCCAGACAGACAGTGGTCTGGCCTGCTTTATCGTAAGCAGCCCTCCTACCCCTGTTTCTGGGGTGGGTCCTGTCTCTGGTGCACTGTTAGATGGGTGGGTGGGGGGCCTGAACGGGGCTCTGGGGACCTCCCAGCCTCGCTCCCTGGCTCTGCTCTTGCTGTCTGAGAGGATGTTCACTGTCCCTGCACTGCAGCTTGTGCAAAAACCCACACTGGAAAGAAGCAGGGCCGCCCTGGGCACCAACCCACCGTCATCCGGCACCACACGCAGTGCCGCGCGGTGACACTCTGGTAGCACTTGATACTTTTGTGGCACCGGTCACACTTGACGGAGGAGTTCCCTTCCACCCACGCGTGCTGCATCACCTGCGGGAGGGAAGCGGAGGATACCAGGGAAGGCAGCAGAACCAAGCCCCCAGCCCAGGGCTGCAGAAAGGTCTGGCAGGAGCCCAGGAGCGGGAGGGCCAGAGTGGGTGGCATCTTACTTAGTGGCTGCTGAGCGGATGCTGGGTCCTTCTCTGCCTAGTGGAGTGCTAACCAAGGTGGATTCAAAACCCCTCTGCCTGAAGTTTGAACTGCTCGTTCACCCTGGCAGGCAAGCCTCTGATCAGTCCCTCATCTGGCAGCCAGTCCAGCCGTCTGTCCTTGCAGAATTCCTTGCAGAGTGATGGGTTTTTCTGGAAGTCAGCACAGAGAGCGGGGCACAGGAGTGCGTGGGCCACTGACAAATTTGGTTGGAGTCACTGATCTTGCACTGCACAGCCGGGTGGCCTCTGACCAGTTCCTCGACCTCGCTATGTCTCGGGTCCCTCACCTGTACAAGTCGGCGTGCTAAGTCCCCTGCTGGGGTTTGTTTCCAGCACACTTGGAAACAGGTCTCCCTGAAGCAGTCACTCCCCCAAGGAGGCACTGTTGGGTAACTCTAGTCTTCCTTCTCAGCCTTTGCTGCTCCTTAAAACCATCTAGGGGTTTTCTAGACATTATAGTGCACACCCCACACTCCAAATAAATTAGTCTCTGCAGGTGGCATCAGCGGAAACTGGGAGGGCATTGCTGACATGGTTGAACACACTCCAGGTGGCTGCCGTGTGTGGCCAAGCTTCAGAAGCTTTCATGAGGGAAGTCAGACAGAAAGTCAAAGAACTCAGAGAAGGCCCTATGGGTGCCTTTCATACTTGCTTCCCGGAGAGTTGGTTTTATCTACTCCCTGGCCAGGAAATGCCACCAGTTCAGGCTGGGAACTCAGGAAGCAGATTGTGTACATATGTCTGAGTGTAGCTCAAGTGACACAAACTGACCCATGATACCACTGTCTGGGAGCCAGGGCTCTCAGCTCCCTGCCGCCTGGAACTCAGCAGAACTTTTCCAGAATTTCACCAGGGTACCTGAATGGCAGCCGGAAGTGGATGTGGACCCTGGAGGGAAGGTTTGCGGGGGGGTTGGGGGGGAGTGTAGCTGGAAGTGCCCAGCTTCAAGTACAGTTTTAAAAACGTGAAATAATTTGCACGATCCTATCCGTGTTTGCAGTAACTAAAAAGAAATGTTTTAAATTCAGTAGCAATTAAATTGTGGGACACCTCCACCCTGGGAAAGTTTTTGGTAAGGATTATTGTTCCAAAAAAGAGATCTCATTTAGTTTGTAGCTTTTCACCTTCTGCCATGCACTACCAAGGATACAGAGACTTTGTATGTTAATCTATCTGATGACTACATGGTCATGGTGAATTTGGCCCAAGATAGTTTTCATTCTTTTTTTGCAGAGGGAAAAGTCTGAGGCTTTAGGGCGGATAAGGACCGGCTCTGGGTTCTAAGACTGTAAGTGGCCAAGCAGGGACCCATAGCCAGGTCTTCCGACTCCAACCCAGGATGTTGGATGGTCTTCCCAGCACCATGCCCCCCTCCCTGGCCTCTCTGGGATCTGAAGTGAGTGTGCCTCTCCTCTCCCATGTGCCAGGCGGCCAGAGTGCAGCCACAGAACCTGAAGCCAGGTGGCCGCTGCGTGTGCCGGTGGAAGGCATGGTCATGGAAGGGGTGTGGATGGGGCAATGTAGGTGACATTGGCGACAGGCCATGTGGTGTCCATGGGGCATGCATGAGAGTCCTCAGGCGTCCCTCTTTCTCGGGAGGCTTCTGCAGGGTGGCAGGGCTGGCACCACTCTCACCTGCTGTCTCCTGACTCAGATTCCTCAGTGGAATCTTCCCCGTGCTGTAATGCAGAGTGCTTGTCCCCTAATGTTAAGGACAGATATTCCTAGACTCTATGAATGGCACCACCCAAAGGCCAAGGGAGAAGCTGGGAGCCATTCTCTACCCCTTCCCTTTTCTTCCTCAGCATCTGTATCACCAGTGCTGCTGACATCTCCAAATCTGCTGACATTCTCCAGCATCTGTATCACCTGTATCACCAGTGCTGCTGACACCTCCCAAGTTCTTCCCTCACCTTCTCTGCATTAGCCTGGGGGAGTCAAAATACTCCACGGCTGGCTCAGGAGATGTTGAGCACAAACCCAGTGACGATCCTGCTGCAGCGATGAAGACAGACCCACTGCAGCTGGGCCCTCAGGGTGGCACCACCTTTGGCTTTAAATATCAGTGGAATTTCTCTCCCTCTATTTCTCTCCAACTCCATGCTCAGATCAGTTCACCTAACTTGCAAATGGAATCACGTCCCATGCTCAGAAGCACTTTGGTGATTGCCATGTCTGCACGAGCAACTTCTTTCTAGTTTCTCCACTTGGCTCATGAGATGTCTCCAGGCCAGACCTCCCTGCTTTCTGAGCATATCGCCTGCCACTTTCCTTTAAGCGCTCTCTGTCCCAGCCACACCAAAGTAAGTATGGAGCCCAGAACGAGCCGTATCTCCACGCCTTTACACACACAGAGCACCTTCTGCCTGGAGCGCTTTGTCCTCCTTGATGCCACACAAAAGCCTTCTGGTGCAGGTTCAAGACACAGCTCAAATGCCACCTTCTTCTTGAAACTTGCCCTGGTGTCTCCTTCCTGCCTCAACTCTCGCCTTTGCACAGCCCTATCCTGAGAGCACGCATCTCACTATTTTGTGTTCTGCTTATACACCCACGTCTCTCTGAAGACTGCAGAGCACTTGAGCAGCTGGGGACCATCTCTGATAACCTGTGTACCCCTGGTGCAGTGCCTGGCACACAGAGGGCGCTGGGATGCTGAATGGATGGATGGATGGATGGGATGGGTTGAGGGTGGTCCTTGAGGCAGAGAAGGGACTGGAGAAAGCTCCCAAAGCCGCTTCCCGCCTCGGAGCCCATGGTGATGGACATGTTGTCCCAGAAGCAGCATGCAGTAGAACAAGGCAACGGGTGTCACCAACCTCGCCGCTCCTTTTGGCTTTTGAGCACGTTTTGACACACGCAGGGATGTTTTTGGATACACAGCGTTCGTGGACAGTGTATTTACAGTCTGAAGAGAAAAAAAAATAAGCAAAGTGGTTATAAGTGCCTGGGACTAGTGCTCAGCTTGTGGAGCTCATAGCTCGGAGCCTATCCTCTTTATGGGAGGCCGTTACCTGCTCCTTTTGGTGGAAGTCTTTGTTGACTGTATTCGTAATCGTGCTGATCTTAGTATTTCGCCCATGCATACTTAATTGTTTCTTTGGCTTTCTCTGCTCCAGATTTAAAGCTATACGCTTACCCAAGATGAAAATGCCTGGTGTTTATCGAGGGCCTTTGGATAGATTCTCTGGAGAGTATCTCTGACTGCCAATCAACAACTACGACCCCTTTCAGCCTGAAGAAGCCAGAGTGGTCATCTCCTGTTACTCCCTCATGGAAGTTTGGGTTACTTCTTCAGAGGAAGACTGTCATAGGCAGCTGAGTTAGATAAAAGTATTATAGGCAGTCAGACCGGGCCAGGCCCTCTAAGGAGCCAACAGGAAGGACAAGATAAGATACGTATGTGCTGTGGGGCAGACATCAAGACAAAGGAGTAAACAAATGCACCCACATACCTCCCTAGGTGTAAACATCAGAGATAGGTAGTGACCACCTTGAAAAGTCCCTGACCCAGCCCCCTGCAGGAAAAGTCCTTGTTCTGTATCCATGCCCGCTTGCTATGTGACTGCCTTTCTCATTTGATCCCAACTTAATCAGTTTTACCTGAACAATTCTTATTGGCTGACCATAGTTTTGTCCATTTTTCCCCTACCTTAGACCCACCTCCTCTCATGGTTTTATTCTATAAAAGTCCCTAGAAAAGACAGAGTCTTGGGCAACCCACTCAGGCCCCCCTTCTGTCCCTCTCTTGGACAGAAGCTTTCTTTCCCTCAATAAATATATTCTGTTCTTAAAAAAAAAAGTGGTTGTAAGTGACACTAACCACCCTCCACCCCAGCCAAGACCTGTACTTCCTGCTGGAGGGGAAGGGGACATAAGAAATTGGTTTTACCTACAGGAAATTCAACTGCTTCCCATTTTTCCTTGAGCAGAGTCCCTGGTTAATCCCAGTTCTTCTACACCTCCACCTTGTCGCATTGGCTTCTCTATGGGCAGGACATTGACCCCAGATAGGAGAGTCTCCCCTTTTTTGCTATATTAATCTTTCTTATTCCCTTCATCTCCTCATCCCCAGATAGGAGAGTATGGCTGGCTAGGCCGATATCAGAGCACTGCATGTTGGGGATGGTGGTGAGGGGGAAGAAAGGCCAGGGGTCTCGGACGAGGCCCAGCCTGATCTCTGGCTCTGCAACATGTAATAGCTCACTTGGCCTTGCACCAACTTCTTGACCTTACTGAAATTCAGGGTATTCTGTAAAATGGGAATGGCTGAGCCTCTCTTCCTCTTTCCAAGAATTTTGCAGCACTACATGGGATGATTTGTGTGAAGTACCCTGTGCCTGGATCAGCACAGGTGTTCCACAAATTGTTACTGTTGTCGCTATTACTATTAGGCAAGGGCTGGGGATATAGCTCAGTGGCACAAGCACCTGCCTGGCAAGAGCAAGGTCCTGAGTTCAATTCCTGGTATCAAAAAAACAGAAAACAGAAAACAAGTACAATTAGGCAAACAGCAGAGGCCCATGGGCCTCAAACTTAAAGGCATGAGAACAGGTTGATGAAAAGGTGGGAGATAGCCGGATGTGTGAGGGGCTGGGAAGACTAGTGGAACCTCTTTCTTTTAGCCTGCTGATGTTTGCTCCTGATGGACAGTGGGCCAGCTCTACTCAGAAGACCTCTGTGGCTCAGGTCACGGGTACATGTTAGAGGAAGGACTTTGGGGACCTGGACCATGCTCCCGTGCACCCCCACACCCGGCCTGAGAAACCTTCTCACTGCTGCCCCTTCCTCCTGTCCTCCTGCTCCCCATCTCCCCTTCTTTCCTGTATCACTCTTTCTCATTCCCTCCATCTCCTCCACCTGTCCATCTTGTCAGTCTCCCTTCCCCTTTCTTTCCTATCTCTTGCTGGTGTTTTTTTCCCTTCCTTTCCCCCCTTGACTTTACTAAATAAGATTATGAAATGAAACAAATGTATGATTTTAATTCCCATTGCATTTACAGAACATAGAATACAGTATGCTGCTTAACTCATTAAAAAGGAGGGCTGGGTATATAGCTCAGCAGAACAAGCGCCTGCCTGGCAAGTGCAAGGTCCTCAGTTCAATTCCTGGTACCAAAAAAAAAAAAAAAAAAAAAAAAAGGAGGGTTCTCTGGATACACCTGAAATAAACATTGACTAGAAAACCCAACTAAAATGTGTATGAGATGATTTTTAACTATGCATACACTTTAATCATTTTTTCGAGGAGATCACTAGGCCATGACTCCAACAAAAATACATGTCTTGTCCATTTGACTTGGTAGAGTCAAAATAACACAGAGAGGCCCCTCCTGCTGGAACACTGAGGGTGGCCTCCCAGCTGAGATGCAAAATACCTGGGTTTTCCAGGAATAATGGCTCAACCAGCCCAAGGAAAGACAAGAAAGTGCGTGGGCCAAAGGGCTGCAGGGAAGTTTACTCACAAATACAGCACAGGCCTTGCTTCCGAACTCCCATCAGCATGATATGGCAGAAGTTGCAGTAGGTTGGCTTCTTGAAATGCTTCAGGGTCCAGGCGTGCCTCCCGTCCCCCTTGGAGCCCTGCAGGGGTGACAGGAAGTGAGACCCGAGATGGCCGATCCCAGCTAGAGGCCAGGGTTGCCTTGTGAGCTTTCTTCTTTCTTTCTAAATAACATGCTCATCTTGTATTTGGAAAGCAAGTTACTTTTTAAAAAAATACAAATGAAAGCAAAGTTGATGAAAACAACCTTCTCTCACCCAACCAGCAGAGGAGTCAGTTAGAACAACAATTAGTTCTCTACCATCTATCTGTCTGCTATGCCTACCTATGTCCATCACTTGTTTATTTAAAGATTCTTTAAATGGGCTGGGGATTTAGCTCAGCGGCAAAAGTGCCTGCCTGGCATGCGAAAGGTCGTGAGTTCAGTTCCTGGTACTGGAGAAAAACCAAAACCAAAAAAAAAAAAAAAGATTCTTTAAATGTTTACAAACTTCGACTTTCAAGTTTACTTTCTTAAGAGAGATGAACGTTTTTTTCCTCTGTCAGATATTTAACCCAGAATTATTTAAAACAATGAAAAATGGCCTAAAGGTCTCCAAATGACTAAAAGGTTAGTTGTGACACATGAAGATGACTTCATGTTAGGTGGCAATAAAAAAAAGGTATTCCTAAAATTATCTAATGGTATGGGAATATACTCAAGATATAACACTAAGAGAAAAAATCAGAATGCAAACGTATGCTATATTATGAACTGAGTTTTAAACAATATCTGTGGAGGGAGGAGATTTCACTGTCTGTCAATAGAGATTAGCTATAGCTGGTGACATTACGCGTTCTTTTTTTCAGATTGAACCTAGGGTCTTGAGCATGCTAGGCAGACACTCTCCACTGAGCTACATGCCCAGCTTTATGCACTCCTTTTATTCTCTGATTTCTATTTTCTTCTATAGTTGCCAAATTTTCTACAGTAAACATGTACTAGTGTTGCAATCAGCAAAAACAACGTACTCTTACCAACCCTTTGCACACAGATATAATAATGAACAGAGACAGAGAATCAAATCAGTTCCTTCTGATAGGCTCAGAAGCAAAATCATCCTCACCCACCAGGTAAACGACGCCTTACATAATAACACACCTTCCCTGGAAAACCGAGTTCCCCGCCTTCCGGACCCTGGAAGTAGAGCCTGGTTTGAAGCTGCGACTTCGGGATATCTCTCTTGGCAGGTGCCATCCTGGTACCTGTCTCACAGTCTCCAGCACAAGAATAGTGCCCAGGCTGGTTTGAAGGGCAGTGAAAACTATGGTAGAAGGTGATGAGGACCCGTGGTCTGCAGTGAGTCCAGTGTACTTGACCCAAACCCAGTCCTTACTTTGGGGCACATTTGCCTTGGCTCTGCTGATCACAGCCATGCCTTCTCCTGGGCTCAGACTTCTGCTGAGCTCCCTGGAGGAGCCCATGTTCTTTCCCAAGTGCTGGTCTCCTCTCTGAGGGCCAGTGAAGCTCTTTTTTTCACTTTACCTCCAAGCCCTATTTCAACCAAGACCTGTACTTTGTAGAACTAAAGACCCTTTTACCTATGGATTCAAAAATATGTCACCAAAAGATTGATGGATTCATTGACTTGGCAAACATCTACCTCTGGGGATTTTTTGGAGGGTAAGAATGAACTGAAATAAGGCAAGTGCATCTCCTTATCCATTTTCAGACACATGGTGAATGAAAGCTTGTATTGGATTCTTGTTTCGTACCAGATGCCGGGGAAGACAAAAATAACTACAGTGTGTACTTGCAAGTAAGGAGGTAGATTTATTCCTAGTCTACAGGTGAGATTCAGAGAAGTTACATAACTAGGCTGAGCCCACACGGGGAGCAGTGGCCACACTGGGGGCGGGAGGACTAAAGCTCCTCGTCCTCAGTGCAGAGGTTTCCTTTATGAACAGAATGGCTTCTTCATGTAGCTCAAGGGGCTATCATTTTAAAGGAAGATACCTCTATTAGCTAAGTCCATTAACCAACTCTCCTGTTTCTTACTGTTTTCATAGCTACAAGAAGCAAATGGAACAGGAAGGGGTAAAGAAACACTTCTGCCTGGGTTACAGCACCATCATGTGGCTTTTTTTCATTTCTATGCACTGGAAGCTGGAACGTGGCAGGGATCTTCCTTCTGCCCACTAGGTTTTATGCCGCCGCCACAATTTCATCGGAAAGATCGTTTGGCATAGATCCCATTTAGAGATTCCCAGATTTCTCAGGGGTCCCCTGTGGGTTTTGAAAAAATCAAGCCAGCAACAGGACATGGATGGAGGCTTTCTCTAAAACTCCAAATATTATATGCTGAACATTTATTCATACCTATTTAAAAATAGATGCTTAAAATAGTTGAGGAATAAAAGCTAAATTTGTATTTATTTTTGTTTTCCACTTTTCTGATGTAAATTATAGTTTTCCCCAGGGCAGATTTAGCATTTGGGAGAGACATTGCCTTCCTGATTTTTTTTTGGTACTGGGAATTGAACTCAGGACCGTGTGCTTGCCAGGCAGGCGCTTATGCTGCTGAGCTACATCCCCAGCCCTACGTTGCCTTTCTGATCTGAGTGCAATCTTGAGTGAGCGTTGGTTATAGAAGTCTATCTTATTTGTCTGAGCAAGCACCCAGCTCACGTAGGTTCTTGTACTGAATGAGGGGAATGATGCTTCAAATGTGGTGAATGGCCTCTAGTACTGATATGCTGTGTGCCCTTGAGCAAGTCCTTTACTTCTCTGGGCTTCTGTTTATAGGATACAAAGGACAGACCCAGGCACCGGGAAGGACATTTCCAGCTAAAACTTTCCGGGAAAGTTCTAAGGAATAAGAAGTCAGTTGTGCTGGGCTTTGATTTCCAATTAGCACTTGGGAAGAGCTGGACATGCTGTGAGATGATTGTAGGATTCTTAGATCGTGAGTTTTGGGAACGAGGGCTCAGCTCTAGTGCTGAATTGCAGAACTGTTGGATGAAAATGTGGACCACGAGAGTCAGCTAGAAGCTAACCCAAGTTTTACTGCCTGGTTTGCTTCTCTCTCAAAGAGGTGTTGTCGTATAACCACTGTGACTCTCCTGGAGAATGCTTAATGTCACCATTCAGGCTTCTCCTAGTTACAATCTTCTTATCTCATGTAGAGAAATTAGTTCACTTGGGAAGTAACAGAAAATCCAGCACTAGCTGGACCAGATGCAGGCGTAGCCTAACCACTGATTTCACCGTAACCCTTCGCACATTTCCCCTACTCTGAACTAACTGGGAGATTTCCCTGCATTTGCCCTCATTTGGATCAAGTTTGATCAAGTTGTTCTTCCTGCTAAGCTCTGTATTCTGTCATCTTCCACCAGTTAAGTCATACCCAACCCTGAGCGGCAGATCAAACATCCACCTACGTCGTTCTATCTGGTCTTTATGCTCAAGGTATGGGATACCCTAATCTCGTGTGTTCTTCGGAAATAGATCAAACACCCTCCAAGGCTTCTCCTGCTGGTCTCACTGACACACACAGGATGTTGGAAAGTACAGGGCTCTGGACCTTACAAACTCAGGCACAAATCCTGGCTCCTCCTTTGCTCGAGTCAACACCTCCGTTTTTCATCTGTATAAATTAGAGTGAAAATACCTACCTCATCTGACTGTTTTGATCATTCAGTAAGAGACCATTCATGGAATCCCCTCCCAACAGATCAGTATTTCCTCCTCTTTTCTCTTCCTTTTCTCCTTCTTTACTTCCTGTCTTCCTTAACCAATTCTCTTAACATTTAAAAACCTAATTTGTTGAAAAGATGGGACTTATCTCTGATGTTTTTTTTCACACCTTGCCTGGTTGAGTAGCTGCTTCTTGCAGGGAAATACTGCATCTATGTCCCCTCATGACAGGCAGAACAACATGCTTACTTAGCAACAGTTTAGCAAATGTATATTTTTGCACAGGAGCAGGTCAGAGGGATGAGACTAGGGATGACCTGGCCCCAGCCCGGCTGCAAAGCATGCCCACTGGGAAGCCCAGGCGGAGTCAGAGCTGTTAACATGGACCCTGACATTCCTGAATGGCAAGGGGTCTTTTAGCTCCAGCTTGACTTACAGTCTCATCCATCCCCAGGAGGACCAACAGTGGAATGGTGGTCATCCCTCCATGGACCCATTCCTGGAGAGACACAAAGCCATCCCGGTCATAGTCCATCCCTTGTAACATCTCCTTTAATATCTGTGGAAGAGAAGAGCAACTGTCTGTTTTCATCCTTGACTTTTTATCTTCCCTTCTGGCCTCTGCTTGATCTTTGGTCCTCCATTATTCACTTTTTGCTTTCCCCCTTTGCCCTCTTATTTAGAACATTGAGGGACCTGACCAGAAGTGAGGAGCCCAGGGCCCTCCATCCGACTCAGCTCTGGCCTGGCTGTGTGACTGGGGGTGAGTCACTCCAGGGCTCTGGGTTCTGGGTTGCTCATCGGGAGAAATGAAAATGACTTTGCTGTTTGCAGCACTGTAATAAGTATTAAAGAAAATGTAAATAAAATATCTAATATAATACCTGATATATTGGAGTCCCAACATGCAATTATTGTTGTCATTCATATCATCTGGTGATTAAAATAGCTCTGAAATTGTTTCTGGCTCTGACTACTTTGATCTATGAATTTCTGTTCTGAAATTTTAGCTCTGTTGGAAAGGTTAAAGGGAATTATGACTTCTGTTATTTCCATGCCTTTCACGGGTGCTGCCTACAATTTTCCTAGCAGAGACTGTGGGAGGTCAAGGGGGAGGACCCCACAGAAGCTGCAGGTAAGAAGATGAGTCTAGGGGCACCCCCGCAGGGGACACTAGCCTCCTCTTGCATCTCAGGTGCTCACTCTGAAGTCGCCCCCTTATAGAAACTCACAGGTCTTAGCTCGGTGGGATCCCACTCCAGGTACTGGGCAATATGTAGCATTTGGTTGACAATGCGATCCATCTCCTAGAAAGTAGCAAGACGGGATGTGTTACCAAGAGCAAAACTCAAAACCAAATCCAGTGGGAAGCCAGGCAGGGCAGAGCAGGAGAAGTTGGTGCAATACACTGGCATTTCATGACCAGCTCACTGCTCATTTCTGCCTTGGCCAGAAAGCCTGGTGGACAGTAGATGTACAGAAGAAGCACAGAGCGTAGATTAGCCAGGTGCTCAGAACGCGCACTGAGCAGTGTGACCTCCTCTGGTCTCATCTGGCACAGCTTCCTTGGAAAGCATAGAACGTCCTCCTCATTTCTCCTTTGTCATCAAATCTCCCACAGACACTTACAAACTAAGGTTGTCTGTCCCTGCCTTTCTCATTACTCCTTACCCCCGCAGCTTAGCAACCCAAGCTGCATCTGCCTCTCTTAGGGCTCAGTTTCACTTGATTACTGTGTCAGTCCTAGCTCAGGCATGATGTTCTGGGTTCCTTTTGGCAGCTTTTGCCTTTGCACCATGACCCAGCCCTGAGCCCAGGGCTCTATAAATAAGAAACAGGAAATGCTTAAGGGATATGTTTGCCTGATGAGTGAGCCTTTCATTATCAAAGCCAGGTTCCAGCTAAGATCTCACACAATTGTGGGCTGGTAGTGAGTGAGTTCAGTGCGCAGAAAACCCCACTGGAACACAGCAGACCGAGGAGTATTTGGTCTAAAAAGTTAGCATCTTGCGTGTGGGCGCCATCTAAAATTGCTCTGGATGGACAGGTGGATAGACTGAAGCAAGCTTGAAAAGTATTACCTTCACCAGGAAGAAAGCTGGGTCAAAACAAGCAAGCTAAAACCCAAGAGGCAGTTACAAAATTGTATTGCACTTAAATTCAAAGAATAATCCATAGCAAAAAAGTATGGGGTATAACAGTAGACAAATGTAGGAAAAAGGGACAATTCTAACTTGGAGAAAACGTTAGGGAAATAGGATAGTACCTTTAAATACTCAAAGGCCTGTGGTATTCCACTTGTTTGATAAGCTACCAGGGGCAGAAGGAAGCAAAGGACTTTAGGGTCAGCCTATTGTGACTTCCCTGCTGGGTTGAGGGGAGAGAGAGGAACAGCACGTTTGCTGTTGAAAACTGTCCTAGCAGACAGATAAATGTCTTGTGTGCAGGAAGGAAGCCCTCACTGTCATCCCTAAAAGTGGAATAGCTGTCTTAAGCTAGCAGGTGACTGCCTCATCACTGACTGTTCAAGAAGTTAGAGCCTATTAGCCAGGAATGCCGGGTGAGAAGTAGCATCAATAATTCTTTCTAAAGACTTGCTTCAGTCTGCCAATGTTACCTTTAAAATATATGCACACTCTAACCACTTCTTCCCACACTCCATACCTTCACCCTGTGCAACGTTACTGTCACAGCACGCCTTGATTATGTCAATAGCTCCTAAATGTTATTTCTGCCTGCGTCCGTCAGTCTATCCTCAACACAGTAGCGAGGGTGATCCTGTTAAAACACAAGTCAGTCCTGTCACTCTTCTGCTCAGCCTGTTTGGTGCTCTCCATTTCTCTAGAGAAAGAGAAACCTTTTTGATCACCCATAGGGCTTAACATGCTTGGCAATATCCCCACCCATCCCATACCCCATCCCTTTAACTTTTCTGATCTCATCTCCTATCACTGCCTCACTCTGACCTCGTCTGTTCTCCAGTTCTGCTCCAGTCACGTTGTCCCCCGTTAGTCCTTTGGTGTCTGAGGATCCCTCAGGACCTTGTACTCAATGCTTCCTTACTCCCTCACCTCCTCCAAGTCTCCGCTCCAATGTCCCCTCCCAAGGGACGCCTTCCTTGGCAGCCCTAGCTAAGGCTGAGCTCCATCCAATACTTCCCTGCCCTCCTTTATCTTTCCTCTTAGCGCACATCTCAACGCAACTCATATTTTGCTATGCTCCTTAGTGTCGACGCTTGGACTAGGATGGAAACCACATGGAGGAAGGAAATTCTGTTGTCTGGCTACTGTGCTGTGTCCTCAATGCTCAGCACCTGATGTGTGTGGTAGACACTCAGTAAACAAGTGCTGACTAAATTCTTGAGAGTCAGCAATTCTCTGGTTGGTCCCTCAAATGCTTTAGCCCTCAGCATTGCCATGTGGTAAAAGGGATCCTATAAAGGCACCAGGTATAAAGGGGGCTGGTAACATAAAGTCGGTTGAGTAGAATTCCTCCTCCTTTCCCCTTCCCTTCCTTCCCTTCCCTTCCCTTCCCTTCCCTTCCCTTCCTTCCTTCCTTCCTTCCTTCCTTCCTTCCTTCCTTCCTTGCTTCCTCCCTCCCTCCCTCTGGTCTGACTCCCTCCCACCACCTTAACCTCACAACCTTCCCATTAACGAGCTGACTCTGGCATTACCAGTCATGACCAGGCCTATCTGACTTTATGCCTCCTTCCCTCTGCTGCTTCCTTTTTATTTTTCCTCTTTCTGGCTCCTGATCATTCCCTGACTCTTCCAAAGTGGTGAGTGAGTGTCAAGTTTCTGCAGGTGCAGTGGGCGTGGGAACGCGTGTGCAGAGCAGACAGAGCCAACATCCTAGGCTCATGCCGTGGGAAGGAGAGAAAGTCAACGGTGATGCCAGAGCCTACCAGGAGTAACCTCCCTTCTTCTTGTCCCAGTCTTGTTACCTCCCTGGGCACCCTTCTCTTGCCCTTGGGGTCCAACAAGAAATTTCAGTGCAAGTTTGTGAATGGGGAAATTAAATTAGAAGAATGAGTAAAACATTTCCTTATTCTGAGATTGTGTGAGTCCAGGCTTCTAGAATGAGGACAACCACAGCTCGTGCACTGCAAGGCTGGCTCTTTGGAAATAGAAGCTGAGGGGTTCTGCTCAGATTTCTGCAGTCTATCTCAGAACACTGAAATCTCCACACAGATACAGCTGAGAATTCTCAGACTGTTCTCCACTCCCCTGGCCTTACTCAGATCCAGGAGGGATATTTGGAGTCAGAGCTTACCGCTTGGTCCAGGAGTCCGTTCTCATCCGAATCATAGAGACGAAACATGACTGCAAGAAACACAGAGGTCAGGTTTCAGGTACCCCCCAGGAGACAGAGATGGGCTGAGGTTTTGGTGCCCCTGGAGCTTGCAGTTGCTAAGTCAGCTCTGGACCTCACTGGGGCGAGGCCTGCTGCAGTCAGCTTTACTTCCTCCATGGTGCGGAGGGTCTTCCTTTCTCAGAGGGTCAGAAAAGGAAGGAGAAGCGAGCCTGGCTTGTGCAGAAACCTTGTGTCTAATGAGATCCAGGCCGTACGTGTGCCTCCCTGGAGAGCATGCATCCCTCTTGGAATTGCCTGAACACAACCCACAGCACATCCCAGCTGGTGGCAGGATGGAGACACCCGGGCTACTGGTGGGCTGTTGCTTTCATTGCGCATAGAAAAGAATGTGGAGTTAGGCAGATTTACACCCCGGTGTGCTCTACCACTTCTGAGAGTGAATTCAGTTCTCTCTCTTCTTTGAGCTCTGTTCATCTGTAAAATAAGGATTACAGCCTCTTCTTTCTCCTAGGGTTATTATGGAGATTAATATGCCACTGACAGCCCTCGTACTGAAAGTACTCAACAGATGTTATTTATTTTTGCTTATTTTTATTAATGAAATTAATATAAAATTAATTATAGCCTTTCATATGTATTGGGTACCATCATTTTATCACTATTACTTAATCCTCAGTAATCCTAGGAGTTAGAAGCTACTACAGAAGCTGTTACAGGTTAAGTCTCCCTTATTAAAAGCTTGGGGCCTGAAGTGTTTTGGATATTTAAAAAAAATAGAATATTTGCAAATACATAATGAGGTATTTGGGGAATAAGACCCCAATTTTAAGTATGAAATTCATTAATGTTTTACATGTACCTTATACACATACCCTAAAAGTAACTTATATAATACTTTGAGTGCATTTGCATTTTGAATATGACCCGTCACATGGGCTCAGGTATGGAATTTTCCACATGCGACATCCTATCAAGGCTCAAGTGTTTCAGATTTTGGAGCATTTTAGGTTTTTGATTTACAGGTTAGGGATGCCTCACTGGTATAACTTTCTTCCTAAAATGTCCATATGCTGTTCAGAAACATCTTTGACCGTGTCCTAGCTGCAAGGAGGTGATTGGCTAAGGGACTGGGAGTGAAATTTGCGCTGACAGCTAAACATTCACATAAGGACCTGGAGACTCTGCCTAATTCACCCAAAAGGCAGGGACCGGATCTCTGTAGTCCCTGAGGTCAGCAAGGTAGGAAGCAGAGCGAAGGATTTCTCCCTTTTCCCTCCAGTCTTTAAACTCTTCTTCATGTCTGCTGTTCGTGTGCATCCCCCTGCCACTGACCCCTTTGGGTCTCTCAGCATAAGTTCCCCTGGTCACACTAAGTTGACTTTATGCCCCCATTTCTTTCTAGAAGTTTTAATGTCCCTGCATCTTGTGTTCTTTTCAGCGATGTGTACCTGGTTGAAGTCACAAGTTCTTTAAAAATAAGGCTTTGATTCTTCGTGATGCCTTAGAATGTCCTGGTCAGGGGCACGCAGCATACGCCGCTCTTCTCTGGGCAGGTGGTGGGATGACATGAAAGGACAGAGTTTCCCATCAGCCGTGTTCCAGGACTCTGGGCACTGTGACTTTCTAACACTGACCTCGCTCTGGCTGATGGTGCATGGACAGTAGGACCAGGAAGAGCTGGGGAGGCTACTCTCTATCCGTGTGTCCTCGGACAAGTCCTTTACCCCTCTTGTACAATGACAGCATGTCATCCTTCCAGGGTCATCACGAGGCTAAAGTTTAAAAAAAATTTAAAATGTTTACCAAATATAAAGTGCTCAGTGACGAGAGTTACTATTGCATGAGCAATGAATACGATTTCAGGTTATTATTTCCACAAAAAACATGCTTGATTTTAAAAAAGAAAAGCTTACCTTGTTTCCAGTTATTAAAAATTAGGGAGGGAGTTGAAGCGATGTGATTAAATCAAAAGCAAACCACAGTGAAAACTACAGAATAAATGACTAAATTTCTCCAACCAAAAAGTTGCAAGGAAAAATATTCAGCTAAAGATAGGGAACTAAAAGATTAAGAGACTGGAGAGACATAATAATTAATGGCAATGTATGGACTTTATTTGGATATTAATTCAAAAAATTAAAATAGGTAAGAAAATTAGGAGGCTATGAATACAGGCTGAATATTTGATTATAGTAAGGGACAATTTTTATTTTTATTTTATTTTATTTTATTTTTTATTTTTTTGGTTTTTCTCCGGTACCGGGAACCAAACTCACGACCTTGCACTTGCCAGGCAGGCGCTTTGCCGCTGAGCTAAATTCCCAGCCCCAAGGGACAATTTTTAGATGTGTTGATAGTGTTGTGGTTCTACTTAACAGAGTCTGTGGTTTGTAAAGGCACATACTGAAATATTTACAGAGGAAATTACTTGATGCCTAGAATTTACCTCAAAATAATCTGAGGTAGACAGAATAAGTGGGCAGTATAAACCAAACAAGATTGACCATGACTTGACAATTGTTGAGGGTGGGAAATATGTACATGGATGTTCACTGTATTCTCTACTTTTCTCTGCCTTTGAAGTTTCCTGCAATAGAAATATTCTTTTTCCCCCTGAGGCAGGGTCATGTTATGTAGTTCTGCCTGGCTTGAATTCACTATGTAGCCAAAGCTGACCTCGAACTCATGGAGAACCTCCTGCCTCAGCCTCCTGAGTGCTGGGATTACAGACATGTGCCAGAATGCTTGGCTTTACAATAATAACTTTGAAAGTTTCTTTTCATTGCCATTTCAAGACTCAGCCTGACAGTCACTGATAGGAAGATTCTGGCACATTCTCTCTGACAGTTATTAACAAAGATAAAACCTAAGACTCAATGCAGCCACATGTTGGAAATAATTTGACATTTCGCTTTTAATATTAGCCAGGAGAAAGCAGAAATCTGCTACATTTGCTACCAAATTAGCACTTAAAACTTGCAATTGTTAACACCTCAAACCTATGGGGGAGATTTTCAGCTCAGCTAATGAGCAAACTGTTTCATTTTGGTTTTGGCAGAGTTAACCTTTGGCAGACTTCCCTTGTTAATGTTTCATTTTTGTTGACTAGTCTTATTATTAACTGGAAGTTTGACTTCTATTAGAATGAGTATGGTTTTTTTCTACTCTCTACTTAAATTCCAGAGAGAAGCAAAGATGATACATATTTTAACTAAGGTTCTATGACCTCCTGTTCTAAAAAATGTGCCTGTAGGTTCCCCGAAGCCGGTAAACCCACCTTTGGGTTGAATTTTCTTCAAGACCGCAGGGTTTTTCTGCCCCTGGCTCTGACTTTTCCCCTGAGGATGTTTCAGAAACTAACTTTGCAGCACCATGAAGCCAAGCTCAACTCTAATTACCTAGCCCCCTTGGTCTAGAGACCAAAGACCTTGGAGGTCTAGGGTGAGTGGAGAAATGGAAATAAACCTTACCAAGATGGAGTATCCATAGATCTCAAGAAAAAAATCCTCATGCTTAAGAATTGCTTGTTTAAAGAATGGGGGAAGGAGGTCAAATACTGAATACCTGAAAAATCTATCAAGAGGAGCGGCAGCATCTGATTGGTGGCTTTTTCAGGAAGTCCCACCTACCACACAGAGAACTCTTTCCAAATTTTGGTTCTCTATGCCAAGATCTAGAGTTCCCTTCCTACCCTATATACAAGCAGTATTGTGTCCTAGGGAGGGTTCCAGGTAACGTTACTTATATCACTGCTGGTGAGAGGACAGAGAAACCTTCCCCAAAGAGGCAGGACTCACACCCACGATGCCAGATCGACGTCCAGCATGTTAAGGACCCAGTTCCTCCTCCAGGAAAAAGTCGAAGCCCTTGGCAGGACGAGCACTTACATTCTAGCTTATCCTGTGGTCTCCCGGTCTCCAGCAGGGACAGGTAGCACACGACATCCTTCAGGCACACTGCAGGGGACTCCGAGCTGGAAGATTCAGCAGCAGGGCCTCCCAGGGGGATTGTAGCCACTTGATTTCTAGCTGGGGCTTGCTTCTCAGATTCTGTAATGGATTCAAGGATACTTCATGTCTAGTGACTGTTAACCAGCCCCTTACCCATTCTCTTCAGAATAGATGCAAGGATTTTATACTGATGTCTCCAGGAGCTTGAGTTATGTAGATACGATCAAATCAGTGGCCCTTAAATTGTGGTCTGTGGAGGTCATATTCTCTGATAGAACCTCATTCTGACCCTTTAAACAGCCTATTCCCAGCTGGGAATGGTGGTGCATGCCTGTAATACCAGCACTCTGGGAGGCTGAGGAAGGAGGATCTCTAGTTGAGCCTGAGAAACTTAGCTAAGACAAAAATAAAAAAATAGCTGGGGATATAGCTCAGTGTGAAGTCCCTGAATTCAAGTTCAGTCCTCAGTCTCTCTCTCTCTCTCTCTCTTTCTCTCTCTCTCTCTCACCCCCCCAATGGCCTATTTCCTTGCAGGAAATTAATCTATTTTCTGAAAAGATAATAGTAACTCTTGGTAATACAGTAGTCACCAGGTAAATATCATTTAACCTCCTTTTTGGGAAACCCTCCTATTTAGAAAAGTATTTCCACTGGAATTTCAAAATAGTATAATGACTAATCATCATTTACCAATATACCCTCATAATTTTATTCTCAACTACATTTAAAGACAAATGAATATTCAAAAGAGAGAATGGGGACTGATAATTAACTAATTTTCAGAAACTGGAAAGAACTTCGACTAATTGCAAGCCTCATCGCATGTAGAAAATGGCTTATTGTACCACAAGAAAAGGGTGAGTTTTCTCTCCCAAATTTTCCCCCTTAGGAAAAATTTTTCATTCTTTCCCACTCCATCCTCTAGCTCAAAAGTGTCAGATCTATTACTGACAAGAAAGCCAGGCAGTTATACTTTACTGTGTGACTTTTTTTTTGAGGTACTTTGAATGTTCCCTTTCCTCTCTCAGCCTCTCTATTTCCGTACCCATCAGAAATGATACCTCCATGCCCAGGAGGGGACACTGCTCACAAGAAACAACGGATCAGGGAATAAACAAGACTGGCGGTGGGAAACGGAGCTTAGGTGTGATAATGTCCTGAACGAAGTGCCGAGGACGCTGACTGAGGTAGCCTTGGCGGCGGTTACCCATATACTCTTTATTTAGAAAACCAGAGCTAAGCATTGGGGATACACGTTTCCCCTCAGGCCAGCAGCGCTGTGCTAGGTGCAGCCTCCCAGGTCCTGGGGTCAGGCTGCGGGTCTGCAGGCCGGTGACTGTCATCCAGTTGGACAGCAGAAGAGTCCGAAGGTCTTGGTGCACCGTGTGTTTCAGAGGACACCACGAAGACACCGAGGTGCAGCCTATGCAGCACCGCTATTCAACAAGCACAAGAAAGCCAGGCAGTTACCCTGAAGTCTCAGAGCAAGAGCTCTTCCACAGTAATTTCCTACCGGACAAGACCCTTAGTCAGCTGCAAGATGACATAAGCTCAATTAAGCCAGAGAAGAAAGCCACAGGGGTAAATAAACAGAGATGAAAATACAGTTGGAGAAGATAAAAATGGAGATAATGAGATAGAGGAAAATTGTAGAGAAATTGCTTATGCAACAGAAGTATTACACTCACCAGTAGAGGAAAAGTCATGGAAAGCATAACAACAGCACAGAAGACAAATCAGAGAAATCCTTGTACTAGGTTGTCCCTTATACCCCAAGCCATTGCTATGTCCTCCAATTACTAATCCATTGAAACACCATCAAAGACTTCTTGGATTAACATGGGGTAACAGGGACCACAGCGACCCAGCGAGCTGACAATAAAATAACGGGACAGAAAATACGAATCAATGGTTCATAAGACATTAAATATCAGGTAGCACCAAACATGGTCTCTGAAAAGATGGGGAACAAACACAGTGAGCCCTAGAATTGCCAAATCTACTGTTTGGAAAGTTTTGAGGCTACACTCTAGGCAGATGCAGGCAGTTGCTCTGAGAAGAGATGGACTTGGAATCTGGGGAGCCCAAGGTGGCTACGGGTCCCAGAGCAGAACACTGGAGCAGAGAAAACCACACAGGGAAGTGGGGGGAGAGGGAGCAAGAGGGGCAGGGGTAGGGGGAGGGGGCAGGGGGAGGAGAAGGGAGCAGAAGGAGGGAGAGGGAGAGCTTCAGAAATACATAGAGGATCCCCTTGGTATAGTCAGCAGAAAGTTATTCTCAATTATTCAGCAGAGTGATAATTCATACTGGTTCCCACCAACCACGTAGAGAAACCCGGCAATTTATGACTCATCAGTTCAGTATTCAGAACAGTTTTGCCTCAGTATCCAGGCAAAATTAGCTCTCGTGCAAACACTTTTCTGGTTCTGCCCACTGAAGCAGGACCCCAAAAGATCAAACTATTTCCAAGTCATTTAACTGGACCCAAGAGTAAAGCTCAAGAATATTTGTTGAAATGCAAAAAAAAAAAAATTCAATACCCAGTATTTAAGGAAGGGATAATGGAAATTCTCCCAGAAAATTTAGAAGGGAATTGTACCCAACCCATTTTATGGGATTAGTATTACTATAAAGGCAAAATCCAAGACATTATAAGAGGAGAACATGATACCAATATTATTCATGAACACAGATGCAAAAGTTCTTAACACAGTCTTAGCAAACTGAATTCAATAATATATAAATATTAAATGAGACCCTAATAAATAAGGAAGTATACTCCGTCCAAGCATTAGAAGACTCAGTATGTTAAGATGTCAGTTCTTTCTGATCTTCAGTTCAGCAAATATTTCTAAGCTATGATACCAAAAGTTCAATCCATAAAAGGAAAACAGGATAATTTGGACTTCCTAAAAACTATGAAATTTTTTCTTTAAAAGACACTATTAAAGAATGAGAAGACAAATCCCAGACATAGACTATGTGCAAATCACATCCCCGTGAGGGGCTGAAATCATAATATATAAGGAACTCTTAAAACAATGAGAAAGTAAAACAACTCAACTTTAAAATGAGCTAAAGATTTGAAAACTTCATTAAGAAGATACACAGATGGCAATTAAGTCTATAAAAGATGTTCGGATTATTAGTCATTGGGGAATTGCAAACCAAATCCACAGTGAGATACCACTACACACCTGTTAGAGTGACTAAAAATAGAGACTGTCATACTGACTGTTGATGCTATGAAGCAACAGGAACTCTCACATGCTGCTATGAGGTATGCCAAATGGTTTATCCACTTTGGAAAAGAGTTTGCCCATTTCTTGTACAATTAAATGCAAACAGTACCTACTATATTACACTCAGTCATGGTACTTTTAGGTATTTACCCAAGAGAAATGAAAATTGTCCCTACAAAGGCTTGTACAAAGGATATTCATAACAATTTTATTTGTAATCACCAAAAACTGGAAACAAACTGAATGTCCATCCTTCATTATCAGGTGAATGGATAAACAAATTGTAGACTATCCATATGTCAGGATATCAAACATCTAAAATATGGGAACTATTAATACAACATGGGTAAACCTTAAAATTATGTCAAGTGAAAGAAGCCAGATCAAAAAAGCACATATTGTATGATTCCACTTTCATAAAATTCAGATGATACAATCTAATATATACTGACAGAAAGCTGATCAGAGGATGTATAGGAATGGGGCAAGATGGAAGAAGTGATTACATAGAAAGCCTCTGGAGATGATAAATATATTCATTATATTGATTGTGGTGTTGGTTTTACATATGGGTCAGGACTTATTAATTGTACACTGAAAATATGTACAACTTACTTTATGTCAGCTATACGGTTCAACAGAGCCGTTTGAAAAACATGATAGTCTTTCTAAAGGTCCATGGATCATTAGAGTGCAGATAGGTGTTGAGTCATTGTTCTGGTTTTCTTGAGGCTGACTACTCACCCCTGCATGGAGGTGTTGGGGCACAGAAGAAGCACTGAGTCACACTGATACCACCCGTGGGTGTCCTTCCTCCTCGTGCCACCGTACACGAGCTAGCCCTAACCTATAGCCATCTGAGGACATCCTGCTGGTGCCACCAGTAAAAAAAATGGGAGGGAGCTCATGCCGTCTTCTGGTCCCAGGGGTTCTTTTCTGGTGTCAGATCACAAACCCTGTGATGTGAGGATCCTGGGGCAGACGTGGGGACATGAGGACACTTGTTCCACCCTGTCCTTTAGTCTTCGCATTACTTGCTGCCTTCCAGGTGGGCAGGGTGGCACAGTGGAAAGAGGACCAGGCTAGGGGTGACGACTGGGATTCTAGCCCTGGGTTTGTGCTAAATGGTATGTAAGTTCAGCTTTCTCATCTGTTAAGAGAAGGGGATGAATTAAAACTGATGTTGACCGCCTCCCCCACACAAGCCTTGAATGACAGGAGTTAATCCGAACACATGTTAAATGAAAAAGTGAAAAACAAAGCTGGATTCAGAATTATATAGACAGCTTGATCTCAATTCTGTAAAAAATTTATGGGGAAAAAAACTTGCAATGAGATTACATACACATACGTAATTGCACTAGTGGGATTGTGGGTGTCTTTGTTATTTCTTTTCTGTTTTTTAAAAAGACAATTTTGTGAAGAGCAGTTTTAGATTCACAGCGAACTAAACGAAGGTGCAGAGATGTTCCACACACTCCCTGCCTCCGCAGAGGAGCAGCCTCCTATGCGTCCCGTTCCCCACCTGCGCGGCACATTTGTTGCAGTTGATGGAGCTACACCGATACATCAGTATCACCCGAAGTACAGTTCATGTTAGGGTTCACTCTTGGCATTGTATATTCAAAGGATTTAGGCAAATGTATAGTGGCTGTGTCCACCATTGTAATTTCATTGTCCTAAAATTACTCTGTGCTTTGCCTATCCATCCTTCCTCCTCATGACCCTGAGAAGCGCTGACTTTGTTGTTTCTTATTGATATTCTCTTCAAATTTTCTGCTGAGTATACGATTTTTTTATAACTGGAAAAAGTAAAAAAACGAGACTTTCCGGAGCCTCCAAGACTATAGGTGGCTGTAACTTCTTAACAGCTTAAGAAACCAAATAAAAGTCTGGACACTGAAGTTCTCCCCTTTCAACTCATTTAATCCTGGGCCTCCCTGAGCTGACCTTGGGATAATGACAAATTGCTCAGGGCTCTGAGCCAATGTCTGCGCTCAGGTACCCACTGACTCTGGGAATGAAATACTTGATGTGGGTCATTCTAGATCTCAACGTAGAGACCTGGTGGGTGTAGACAGGTCACATCAAATAATAATCTTGTTTTCTCTTCTGGCTTCTGCTGAGGCCACAGGAAAAGGCTGGGATTTTCAGCAGAAGGCCTGATCTCGGGTGATGCCTGGACTTGGCTCTTCCTTGCTGGCAGAGGTCTTCTGTGTGGCATCTGCCTGGTCCTAATCCTTATTTCTGGTGAACAGAAGCATCCAATGAAGACATTCATTAAAGGGATCCCAGTGGGAAAAGGATTTTCTCCTTTAAATCTCAAGTCTCACATAAAGGTGAAAAAGTATTGTGCATCTCTTTGGGCCCAGCATCAGATAATTATTCTTTTATGATTGGATTATGGGGAACTGAATTTTCCCTATGAACAAGGAAAATGTTGTGTCATGAATTATTTCTCCAGGATGAGATCTCTGGAAGTTCCCCTTTTATACTCTGAATGATAAAGTTGTTGAAAACAAACACAATGGTGCAATAAGTCAGCAAACTTCCATTACTTGCATGGATCGCCTTTTCTCAACTATCACATGATGACTACTCCTCAGTACTCCCTTCCTTGGTACCACAGAATCTTCAGCCACAAAACAGACTCTGCCCAGACAATTGGATATTCAAGAGATGAAATCTAACTTCTCAGGCTGGGGATTTAGCTCAGCGGCAAAAGCGCCTGCCTGGCAAGCACAAGGTCATGAGTTCAGTTCCCGGTACTGGAGAAAAACAACAACAACAACAACAACAAAAAAAAAAAAAAAAAAGAAATCTAACTTCTCCCAAGTTCCTCCTGAGTTTCCAGAAACTTGGTCAGAGAAAGTCTCTGGGTAGAGAATTTGAGGTAGGATGCTTTTTTTTTCTTTTTGGGAGTTTAGAATCTCAAGTTTCTAGTTTTCCCCTTCCTTCTTACCATGAGAATGACTTGTGACAGAATATGCCTCCCCTAACCCATATAAAATGGAAGACTGCACCTTCAGTGTCTCACCAAGGCCTGAGCAAGGGCTGGCAGTGGGATGAACCCACACTGTTGAGTTGTGCCCTGCTGTGGTTCTCAAAGGCCTCAGGAGGCACCAGTGTGCCTCGCCTTTGTTCTCTGAAGTTTCTAAAGCAGCCTGGAATTTGCTGAACTCACGCTCCAGAAGTCAGTCTACTTTGCAACCCATGCCCTGTTCTTCATCCACAATATTTTTTTTTTTTTTCAACTCATTGGTACTTCCTTTGAACATGGAAAACTCTATGATCCTTCTAGTGTTTTTTGGCTGTGACCAGAATAAAGATTAGAACTACACCTAGAGTTCATTTAAAGAAACTATCTTCTCTTTTTTTTTTTTTTTTTTTTCCGGTACTGGGAATCGAACTCATGACCTTGTACTTGCCAGGCAGGCGCTGTGCTGCTGAGCTAAATCCCCAGTGCTGTGCCGCTGAGCTAAATCCCCAGCCCCAAACTATCTTCTCATCCCCTGTTATGATTAGTTTCCTTTCTCCTCCAGCTATAGTTTCTCTTATCTTTCTTTTCTTACATATATTTGAGAAAATAATAAAACTGTCTTCTTTATCTCCTGGGCACATCCCAATATGCAATAAACAAGGAGGAACCTGGAAGGAAGAGTCCATGAGAGATCTCCCATGAGAACAGGAGGCCCAGGGGACACATGGGCAGGACAGAGGGAGAGTTTGGGACTCAACCACAATTTAAGGGGTCTGAATAATAATTGCTAATATTATTGAACATTTACTATGTACCAGGCACTGTCCTAAGCATTTACACAATGAAGTCACTTAAACTTCATAAAAACATCTATTAGGAATTAGTGAGCCAGGAGTTAGGATTCTACTAGGCAGTATGGACAGCAGCCCCAAAATGGAGTCAGGAAGTCCAAAATGGAGTCTTCTGAGTCATGACCCTCCACAGAGATCTTACAAAAACATCTGCCAAGTGTGCTTTGGCTGTTGGGAACCTCTCCAGAGCAGAGGGTTTGTGTCCCTTCTTGCCCTCATCCCACTTTCTGGTCCCAAATGGAGAGTGTTACCCTCTCTTTCTCCTACTTAAGGGTTTGATGTGGGTTGCTGTGAGGTCCTGTGAAGAAAACGTCCCAGTCCCTTGGCCCCTATTCCTACCCCATAGAGAATTCACTATGCTCTGAGGGACCCTCCAGGCCACTGACGCTTTATGGGCAGTGTGTGAATGTTACATAGATTGGGCCCTGAAAAGTGCACAGCCTCCTAGAGGGTAGCAATTACATTGCTTACACAATGGCCTGGGCTCCCTTCTAGACCCCTTGAAAATTCCTGGACAAAGAGCCTTCTTGGGTATCCTACTCAGAACCCCTCCTGGCTATGGGAACTTTCCCTCCTTGCTTTCCCACCTTTTACTTTCTTGCCTTAATATCTTTTAAATAAATTTACCTGCACCCTGTCTCTTCCATCCACAGTTTCACTCTTTGTCACTGTGGGACACGAACCTGGCATTCTGGTGTTATCATCTCATGTTACGGATGAGACACTAAGACAGAGGCATTGCCCAAACATGCCCACAGTCACAAGCTAGGCAGTGTCGGGGCTGGCAACCAGATCCAGGCAGACTGACTCTGAAGTCCATATTCTTCACCGATATGCTTTATCTCCTGATCCAACTTAGGATGAATCATGAACAGGAAATTTGTACCTCAGCCTTAGGCACATATTCATACATGTACAAACACGTGTGCACACACACATGTGCACACACAGAGCGCGCATGTGTGTGCTTTTGCGCGTGTGCACACACACACATATACACACACACACACAAACCTCTTGAGAAGGCTCTCTCTGCTTGGGGCAGGCAGACCTGTCAAGCACGCTGCCCTTAACCTTCTTAACCTTCTCAACCTTCTCAGTTCCATGGTAAATGAAGCAAGAACCACTACCTTTGCCTGAGGATTCCAGGACATTCAAATGTCAGGGGCACCAGAGATGGAGATTCTGAAGCCCACAGAAGGAGAAGATCTGCTCATGGGTACACCTTTATGCAGAGACAAAACTGCTAGCTAGGTCTCCTCCTTCTTCCCAAGGATGTGGAGTACCCCGCTCCTTCCCCAAATCTTCCACTCCACAGACTCACCAGTATCAGGGGCACAGGCCTCATCTGCTTTGGCACCATTATCTGCATTCTGTGTATTAGAATCTGGGGAGCAACAACAACAGCAAAGGATTTAATGATCACTCCATGTCCTCCGGCTTCTTAGGGGACACACAGGGGCTCTTCCCATGGGATCTGGTTCTTGCCGGCTGGGCTCACGCTCACTGATTGGTACTGACTGTGTCTCCCCGGCAGCCCAAACCCCAGAAAGATGGAGACTGTACCTCTGGCTCCTCTGCCAGCCTCCTGTTAGTTAGAGTCTGAATGTGGTCCATCCTCTGCCACATCTTAGTTTGTGTCCCTTCTTGCCCTCATCCTACCTTCTGACCCCGAATGGCAGGTGCTACCCCTCTCTCTTACTTAAGGGTTTCACATGGGCTCCTGTGAGGTCCTATGGAGAAAATGTCCCAGTCCCTTGGCCCCCATTCCTACCCCATAGAGAATTTACTATACTCTGAGGGACCCTCCAGGAGTGCAGCCTGCTCCCATACCAAAGGGTTGGAGCTGCTCAACACCCTCCCATCATGGGCAAAGTTGGTCCATGTACCTGGGCTGTTGGGCTCACTGCTGCTGGCCCCCTCCTTGGAGTGGTCCGGGATCTCCTGCCTGGGCTTCTGGCTGAAGGCCAGGAAGAGGTGTGTGCTCAGTGGCTGAGGAAGATCCACTTCCAGGTATGACCTCATGAACAGCTTGAAGACATCATAGCTAATTGGCTGAGAGGGGAGGAAGAGAAAAGTCACTGGAGGGAAGTGAAGGTGCAGAGGGGAAGGGGAGAAGGAAAAGGAGCGTGGAGATGGCAGGTGAGACAAACGGAGAGGGGAGCAAAGGAGGTGGAGAAGTGATGGGGGAGGAACGACAAGGCTGGGGTGGTAGGGGATGACAGGAACAGGGAGCAGGGGTGGGATATAATAAAAAGAAACACTGGCGATTTTACATCAGGGCTTGGTGGGGCAGAGGACTACAATGGGTCTTGGTGGCCTATGATGTGGCCCAACTATGAGCAAAAGGGGATGATGGGAGTGTGTTCTGGGGGCAGAGGGCTTTGCCTTGGTTCAGGCTCATGTGAGGGACATGGCTCTAAGAAACAGGGATGAGGTCAGTGCCCTGGGATCCCAGTTATGATGAAGAAGGATGCAGTTGAAAACATCAGAGAAAGAAACGGTTCTTCTGTGATATCTTGGTTTTCCTCTTGTGCCATAAGAAATGTGATTCCTGCACATTTGGGTCTCAGAGAACAGGGTAGCTTTGACGGGAAAACAGGTGAGCTCCAAAGCCTCCATCTTTCATTACTGTCATAATTCTGATCCCTCCTAAAATGACAGAGCACCGTCTGCGTCTGCTCGGCTGCTTCTGAAAACATGTCCTTGTGAAGGTTTTAGGCACCAGGAGAAGAGCAGGAAGCCAAGGACAGAAGGTAGAGCCAAGAGAGATGCCAAGAACTAGACCCTCTTCCTGCTGTGCCTCTCCTAGTACCTCCTGGCTGCTGGTCCCAGGCCGGGAGCAACCATGCCAGAAAGAGCTGCTGTACTCAGCAAACACTCAACAACAACAACAAAAACAGTTTGCAGTGAGTCATCACTGGCTGGTGCTTTCACGGCATAGGATCTTCATCAAACCAACAGATGCTCCTGGAAATCACTTGAGGAAGTGCTACTCCAAGATCCGCTGTGCTGGCTTTTGTGAATAATACCAGCCATGAGGATAAAAATCCTTTTTCGGGGAGCCTACTTGGTGACTCCACCAAAATGTGGATAGGGTTTAACCCTCTGTTTGTCCAGGGGGGAATCTGTGAGCCTTCCTAGACCCAGGAGTTCATTTGTATGTGTACAATGAAGATCGGGTTTCAAGTCTTGAACCTAAAATTAGGTGACCCCCCCACCTCATTAGGAGATCACAGAGCAATCTCTGTTAGCTCTTGGCAGGGCTGTTCCACAGATCTTTGCAGAGCGGAGGAAGCATCACTGAGTTAGACAGAGGCTCTTATCTGATTAGATGAATGCTGAGAGGATGATGGATTCACATTTACTGAGACAGATATGACAGATATCCAGCTCTCCTTGGCCTTTTTTCCTCAGTCCCTGTGTCTTTGTTGTACACTCTTACTGTCCTTATAGCTTTTCATTCGAGAATACACTTTTCTTATACACCTTCTCCCATTTCCCAGGAAACAACAGCAAAATCTTTTCCTCCTACTTTCCATGTACAATCAACTCATTTCCACCCTCTGTCTCAGGCAGCATCTGCCAACACTTGCTTGTCTTCCACCTGCAAGCTTGTTCCACGTCCACTATCCCAAAGACATTGCTCTCTACTACCGGAGAGCTCCTAGCTGTCTGCCCTTCCCTTCAAATTTCTCCAAGCAGACCATGTTAGCCTCCTTACTCACATCCAGCTTGGAGTCCAGTGTTTTAGCTCTGAACTTGCTCTTTTGAAAGTTGTGAATTCAGTGGCCTCTTTTTAGACTTTGTCATCTTTGGCTTTTGGGCAGCATTTCATTCTCTTTTCTTCTCGAAACTGTTTTCCAGGCAGTTGCTCTGTTTTGGTTTGCTTCATTCTCTACTTTGATTTGACGGAGCTTTTGCAAAATGGCATTGTTATTTATTATTTCTAAAAGTTGTCTTGTGTGGTCTTCTGCAAAAATTTAATTGACAAGTACTGTTTTAAACTGCAGTTTTGAGTTCCAACATGTACTGTTAATCTCTTCTGGTAACCAACAAGTTGAAAACTATTGGAATAAAACGTTTCTGGGAAACAGATTGTACTAAGTGATTTAACAAGAAGAAAGTCCAAACAAAGTCTAAAATAATGCTGTGAAAAAAAACAAAGCCAGAGATCATTGAACAAGATCAGTATGAGGCTCAGGAGATCTGTCACTGGTCTCTGATCTACTACATGGTTTGAACCTCAGGCTCCCCTTTAGCAATTGTGAGGGCTGAGCTTGAAGATCTCAAGTCCTGAACTTCTGGCAGCATCCTTCTTATACCACCTTCTCTTCCTGACTCTTATTCTGGCCAGTGCAGTGGCAAATTCTCCCAACGTTCCAGACTCAGCTCGGAACTCTATGGCCTGAGACTGGTTGTTGTCTCTTCCTTCTGTCTGCTGGTCCTCTGCACCATCTGTCACATTCAGACCTTTTCATGTCCCTGCTGCCATCAGCAAAGTTTCTGACTTCCGTTTCATGTGTCTTGCCCAGACCATTGTAATACTTCTCCAAGTCCTTGCCCCAAACCCCATCTGTCTTACCCATCTTTGCCAGGCTGATTTCCCGAAGCTAACTCTGATAGCACTGCTTCCCTGCTCAAACTTTCATGGCTTCTCACTGCCCACGGGAGAGCTGAGGTCAGCCGATGTGTTACTGCGCTCCAGTACCAGCGGTGGCGAATCCACGGCGTGTGTGCCTCAACCAGCTGTTTGTTATCACTGAAAGCTCTAAAAGGTTTGCCATCACTGTCCTATACTATACATTATAAAATATATTTAAAAAAGACAATTAGGTGACGTAAAAATGAGTATAAACAGCAGGTCTAATAATGTTGTGTCACTATAGTCTAATGGATTACCCCGAGCACTCTCTGGGACTATTGGAATTCAGAACCTCCCTCATAATCCCACTTTAAATTAGATCTGTAGCTGCTCCAAGCTCTTAGACCACTCCACGCTCTCTATGTACAGCTATGCACCTTGTCCATACTGCTATATCTATCTTTTTCTTGACCAAACCTCCATCATCTTACCCCTCTAAACCACATCCTTCTTGCCCTTCCTATTAAAATTCTAGCCATGCTTTAAGGCTCAATACAGACCCCTCAGCCAGGGAGGATGTCCTGTACCTAAATTTCTGTATTCTGCACCTTAGTTCCTGCTTCTGACACTCACATGCTGCTTTGTGCTAATAGAGTTATTTATCGCATATTTTAAGTCCTCTACTAGATCCAGAGCCTCTGGAAGGTTGTGAGAACACATTATTTTATCTCTGTATCCCCTAAATCACCCATAAGTGTTTCTTCTTAGGTATCTGAATGGGTGATGGGTTCCTAATTGGTACCCTTCCAGAACGGTTTGGTCCCTTGCCCCGGCTGTTGTCAGGGATCTGTTCATTGTGGATTGTTCAGTATATATTGTGGATCTGTTCAGTATATATCTAAACAGGCCCTTCACTCTCAAGATAACAGAGCAAAAGGGGACTGTGACTGCCACTTTTGGGGCTAAAACAAATTTTGCCAACATAAATGGCTTGCTCAAGGTCACAAAGCATGCAACAGAGATGTAATTGGCGCTCAGGTGTGTCTGGGTCCAGGCTGCTTCTTATAACATCTGGATTCTTTCCACTGTAGCTATTGGCCACTGCTTTATTCCCCGCCGGATCTTTTGGTGATGAGGAGCAGGGGCACGCTCATCCCAGCCAGGTGCAGCCCACTCCTCCGCAAACTGCCATTCTCTCACTGGCTTTCTCGGAAACCTGCCCCTTCCCACAGCTAACTCCTTTCGTGCTGAGACATTTTAGCAGCTGGGAGCCATCAAGCTCAAGAAATTAAACCCTCATTGTTTCCCCAACCCCATGCCACGGCATTACACCTACTAGAAGTTGAGTGCACAGCATGAGAGAATGGAATCAGAGTGACAGGGCTCTCCTGGGACATGGTAGTGGCAGGCAGACAAAGAGTGCGGCCGGGGCTGACAGGCACTAGGGCAGCCTTGTGCTCCTCACTGACAAGCTGCTCCCTGCTCTGAAAGCTCCTGTGCCCTTCACACTTGCAGTGGCCTTGACCAAACTGTTCCCCTCCCACGTGTCAGTCCCCGGCAGACAGGCAGATTAGCGGCCCCCGCCAGCCTTTGTTCCATGTTTTTGGAGTTGGGGTGGGCGGTGTGGGGCAGTGAGTTCTTTGCCGGCTCTGCCATCTTCTCTGTGTGGCTTCTCCTCAGGAATGTTCTTTGAAATAGTGCATTCACAGTCTCGCCCCTGTTCTGGCAACTTCCCTCCTGTTCCATTTTCCCCGTGATTGGGGCATTTTATCCAAAGCCCCTCTCAGGTGAACCTTGAGAGCACAGGGCCTGTTGATTCATTGTCAGAGTCCAGCAGAGAAGGCACTGACTTGGGTTTGTTGAACAGACAACAACATGAATAAGTGGCCAGCCTCTCCCTAAGTTAGTCCTGCGGATCCTTCACTTTATTGCAATGGGTCCTCAGAAAAGGACCCAGGCGCAGGGAAAAGGTCAGTGAGCTTAAAATACTCCGGAGAAGGGAATAGAAGCAGAGCAATAATGGGTAAGTTTGATCTAAGACCCCGTGACTGTAGCGCCATGACCCATGAAGTTGATCCTGTCAGCAGGAAATAAACTCCAGAAGACAGAAACTGCCTCTTGATCTTTGTTTTTCTACTATGTGCAGCGCAGTGCCTGGATTCTCAAGAAATAAATGATAGATGCATTGACTTTGAAAATGGGAAGAAGTCTTACATTCACATATTCATTCAACAAATATTTATCAAATGCCTGCTATGAGCCAGATATTCTTCTGGGTATTGGAGACAGCAGTGAACAAAAATATTCTAGCGGGAGACACAGACAATTAATTAAATTATGTAGTGAGACAGATGGTGAGAAGTATTAAAAAGGAAAAGAAAGAGCAGTAGGATGGGACGTATCAGGAAAAGGAGCTTCAAGTTTTAGATAAAGATGACGACAGCCCCCGAGGAGGTGACGTGAGCCTAGACCTGAAGGAGTGGAGGACACGAATGATGTGGTTGTGTTGGGGCTGGGGTGGGGATTCCAGGAAGAGGCAACAGCCAGTGTGAGGTGCTGATGTGACAGCAACGAGACACCACAGCATCAAGGAGACTAGGATGGCTGGAAAAGGATGAGGACAGGGAGTGCAGAAACCATGAGATTAGTGTCCAGGGAGAGGTGCAGACTGTATTGACCTTGACCTTTACTCCGAGTAGGGGTTGGAGGAACCATGGAAGATTGTTTCAAAAAGAGTCGTAGCTGTGACGTTAAGTCTTGACAGATAGCTCAGTTTGAGTGTGAAGAACAGACTTCAAAGGGCAAGGGAAGAAACAGAGAACCCCGATAAGAGACTCCTGCAGTAATTTGGTGATGCCTCGGGTCAGGATGGTAGCAGGGCAGGTGACGTAATGCAGCTGTGTTATGGATGCATTCTAAAGGTAGAAGCAACAGTTTTCTGATGAACTAGATTTGGGACGTGAAAGCTCCCTGCTTTTGGATTGACGAACTTCAAGAGTGTAGTTGTCATTGGTAGAAATGGGAAAGACTGCTATTTTACAGAGGATAGCTCAGGACATGAAAAGTTCCAGACTTCTGTTTGGGTTTAAGTGGAAATGTCAAGGAGAAGGGTAGAAGGAAAACCAGGCGAATGTGGTACTCTGAAACCAAATGCAGAAGCTGGAGGAGCACTTGACTGAATGTGTCCAATGCCATTGAATAAAATTGCTGTCCTTGGCTATCCTGACCAGTGGTTTTAGGGGCAGAATGAAAGTTACACACTGAATGAAAGAGACCAGGAGAAGAGAACATGGAGCCAAAGAGTATAGACAAAATCTTTTGCACATTTTTGTTATAAAGAACAGGAGAGGAATGAGATGGCAGCTTGAGAGAGAAATGGAGTTAGGAGAATGATTTTCAGTATAGGAAAAATAATGGTGTATAGATGTGAATGGAAAAAAAAATCTAATATATAGACAGGAAAGTGGATGTGAAACCCATGGAAGCAGAGATGGAGAGAAGGAGGCAGGGGCTAGGGCACATGTGTTGCTGAAACGATGCCTGTTAATAGGCCAGGGGGCGGTGGGGCTGGATGCTTAAGAAGGGCAGCTGGATGTAGATCTGGATACAGAGAGCTCACTGCTAATTATGGGAGAAAAGGTACTTTTGGGTTTGCACATGGGTGAGGCAGCTAGTGGAAGCTCATCCCTGATTATTTTTGTTTTCTCAGTGCTGAGCTGAGAACAAGGAGAGAAGGAGTGACAGACTTTAGCTGAGAAGGTGGATGGAGTCTTCTAGGACAGCAGAAGGGGTGATGGGATTGGGAAACACGTCACACCAGACAGCGCTGATGGCTCGCTCACGACTCAGGAGAAAATATATCCAGGAGCAAGTTCTTCAAGGCAAGCTAAGCCTCCAAAAGGGAAACAAATTATGGAAGGAAAAGACTAGAACATGGGGTTTCCTAAGGCTTGGAGTGGAAATACGCTTACCTTATGTGAATCATATTGCTTGAGACTTCCACCCTCGTTAAATTCAGCCAAGACATCTTTTACTTTCCTGGAGGAATCTGCAGAGACACAATTCATATGAGAAATACTGGTGAGCAGCTAGTGCAAAGCGGAGAGGAATAAATTCTCTCTGTTCAACAATGGTTATGGTGGAGTAGCTCTTTATTCATTCCCAGGACCATATGGAGAAAGGTCACCCTGCTCTTCCCTGCTACACTTTCATTTCTTCTTTTCCTCTTTCTCCTTCTCCTCCTTCTCCTTTTCCTCCTCCTCCTCCTCCTCCTCCTCCTCCTCCGTTGTCTTCTTCTTCTTTGGTTCAGCCTATTCTTTCTCCTACTATCTGAACTATCTTTCTAAAACACAGATCTGATCAAATCTTCTCCCCTGTTTTGTAGATTTCCATTTTCCCAAGGTAAAGCCTAACCTCATTAGCTTGGGCTCAGCCTTTCATGATCTGAGCTACCCTAATCCTTTTTCCTCCATTCACCCTACCTTCCAGCCACATCAAATCACATTTCCAGAAATATCTGAACACACTGTAGACTCCTTCATGACATTTCTTTTCTGTCTTGTAAACTTCATTCAATTTTCAAGATACAGTTCACAGGTCAATTTCTTTGTAAGATCTTGCTTTGCACCAGTCAGAGTTAATCATCTGCTCCTCTGGCTCCCACATAACTTGCACAAAACTCTCTAATGGCACTTGTCATGTGGTATTATAATTATTTATTAATTAGCTTATCTTGCTCACCTCTTGTCCAGTTGTACCTTAAGAATTGTAACTTGTTGGTGAGTCTCTGTCTATCAAATCAAGATCTGGCATATAACTAATGTCCAGAAAAACAGTGTATAGATGACTGTATAATCACCTGGGTGGAAATTTAAAAAGATTTAAAAAATTGTTAATTATTCAGAATAGGCTAACAAAAAGGCCCACACGTCGCTATCCTTGGTGCTGAAATTTTATTGGGCACCAAAGCAAGCTACAGTACTATAGTTTCTTCTAATTCTGGAAACCCAACAGCTCTGTCCCTCCGCTTCAAAAAATTTTTATTACCTATCTTGATGGGGGGGAAATTGAGCTATTCATCCTGACACAAAAACATAACCTCAATTATGTTTTGTAATTAGTATGGCTGTATTAATTTCCTTGTGGCAGTTTTATTATATTCTGATGGCCAGAACATTTTCCTGTGTAAGTTAAGCCATCCTGACCTTCATATTTTTCCACCAGTGTCCCCCATATATCACATTTATGTTAGAAAGGGGCAAAGAAAGCCTTAGAGGACTCTGAAAGCATGGCGGTTTACAAAATTCTGCCTTCTAAAGCAAATCATTCAGAAACTACTAGAGACAACAGTGGTCGCATCTTTTTGAAGTTTTTAAAAAGGGAATTGAAAGTTGAAAGAAGAGAACTAATAATTATTATGAAAAACATATCATGAGTACATTCTGTGTAGTTACCAGCACTCTAGACATCAAAGAAAATCAAGTATTCTGTGACCTGTGCTTCCCCTGTCTCCAAGTATTGTGAATAATTAAGAGCTTTTCAAGCTCCATTATTGCTGCTACTCAAATGTCCAAGCACAGGGTAATGTCATTAAAAGCTCACAAGGCGTTCTTGTTGCTCAGATTCTCTGCACAGAATGGTCTCCTAGGCCTAGGTAAAGTACACATACTCATGGGCTGGGTGCTTCTCCATGGTTTTGCTGACTTGGATAATCATTGTGTGATTGAGACATACTGAAATGCCACAAAAAAATGCTGCTGTTGCCTAAAAATGGAAATTTCTTTCTGAAATTAAAAACAGATGTTGAAAACTAATAGCTCAGTAAGATCCAGGCAGCAGATGCCAACAATTTGGGTTGCTTCCATTCAATTCTGAAAGCACTACAGACTGTAAGATTCTGCAAGGTATTGTTAATGAACCAGTGGGTAAAATGACCTGAGTAATTGTGGTATAAATTACCCTTTTATTGAGGATATTTATCTCATAAGCTCTCCTCCACCAAACCAAGCAAACTGGTAATTATTTTTCAGTTTGTGAATTTTAGAAGCTGAAATTCAGAAAAATTAAGTGACTGGCCCAAGACCTAAAGTTCTAACTCAGGTCTAGTCTAAGTCAAAAGCCTCTGCTCTTTTTCTCTAAGCGTTATTTAATATTGCTTACCAAATATTTGTTAACACAAAGAAAAGTGTAATTAATGCCCTAGCAATGGCATAAAACTCTGTGAAACACTGTGTAAGCAAGAAGTAAAATGAAAATGAACGTAGGGCTGAGGTTGGGACCAGGACAGACTGTGAAAGCATTTGAACGGAGGCATAAAGAGTGTGAGTGATTGTAAAATACTGACATGAAGTGGAAGAGAGTTCTCAGAAGGGACAGAGTGAGCAAAGATACAGGAATTAGTGCCACAGAACATTTAGAAAAAATAAGAACCAGAGATTAATTTGGGGCCAGATTTGCAAGGGTCCTAAATGCCAAGTTAACACTGTTGATTTGAAATTGTTACAGATTTCTTGAACGATAGAATAACATAACTAGGTCTCTGCTTTCTAAATGTTGCTCCAAAAATAGAATGGAAGAGAGTTTAGAATTAGGCCAGAGCTCAGTTAACATCATATACATATATACATATATATTTATTATATATATTTATAATTATTCTACCAGCAGCTTGATTATTTAGAAAAAAATCCTATAGTTGAGACTCTATTTTAGTGGAAGGTTTTAAGCTTAGCCAAAGTGTCCAGATTGTGGAAAATGCAAATTTGAGAACATGTGTACCCTGGTATGGCTTCTTCAAGAACGAAGTTAGCACTTTGACTGAGAACCAAGGGACAAATTTCAATAAAATTTATACTTTTGATATCACTATCACTTTTGTTTGAGATTACACAGTTCATCCTAGCAGAAATACTTGTATCATATATTCACATTTAACAGAGGTTTTTAAAAGGAAAAAGCAAAAAATTTATTTTAAGATATCTGCTTAATAGTCTAAGATTAAATAGAAAAAAAAAACAAGCCAAGAGAGTTCTGATTAATTCAGAAATATTCAGGGTATTCCTCATTATATAGTTACTTTAATTTTGGGGGGTTGTAAAGGTCATAGCACCAACACCAGTTTTGAAAAAGGAAAACAGCCTAATTCTCAGATCTGTGACACATGACTTTCCCCTTGAATGTCCTCTAATTCTTCACGGCAGTTTTCCCCTCAGAGGATTTCTGGGCTGGGTTCCTCTCTCCATGAGGAATGAGTGGGCATGGTGCATGACTAATCCATTTTGATGAGCACAGCTCCATTCTGCTTCATCCTAAGAGAGCTAACGATAAAGGACTTCTTGGAGCACCCTTTGATCTCATCTCAGGTGCCATTTGTTGGCCTAATAGTGTCAGCTCAGGAGGGAACTCCTTTGTGAAAGCCTGTATATAACATCACTACCAGACTCACAGGACATGGGTTCCATTTCTGAGAATACAAAATAATGCCATGCCCACGGTTCTTTGTAACAACCCATACTTTGTTGTGCATTTATTATATAAGGCATTTTCTTAGTAGTCTTTGTATTTTATTTAAATCTCCAATACTATCTCCTAATGTAACAAGTGTCACCATTCTAGAGAAGAAGATATGCAAATTCATGGAATTTAATCAATTCCTCCAAGGTTACACAGCTAGGGAATGAGTCACTCTTTTAACATGTGTGATTAATAGGACATAGCCAGTAGAGTCACTGGATATGAAAACATTGAAGACAAGACCCTTCCTCTACCACAGTGGCACTCAGACCTGGCTGGTGCTGAAATCAGGAGTGAGACTCTGCATACTGAAACCCAGCACTCACCATTAAATCAACATCTATTGGGAAATGCGGGAAATAACATAGAGGTCAACCCAAGTTGGGAGTTTAGCAAGCTGTTTTCTGTAATCAAGGTTACTAGTGGTAACAACTGCCCTAAGAAGATTTAAATCCAAAACTATCCCTTTATGCTTTATGTGCTAAGAATTCTAGGTTCTAAATCACACACTCATCCCTAAGGCTTGAGGAAATGCAAAGCCTTTAAAAGGAAAAAACGAGGTTCTACTCAGAGACCTCTCTGCTGCCACCTTGGTGTGGCCCCACAATGCCCTGCATGCGAACAAGCAGACAAATAAGAGCCTTGCATTTGTTTACAGCAGAACATCAGCTCTGCTGCCTGGACCAAGACCCAAAATTTATAGATCGTCTTTTGGTGAAGAACACAGTAATTGAATGCTAGACCATTAAACTGTTCAACGTGGAAATAACCATAAATCAACATTTTAAAAAGCGAGTCTGAAAACCCATTCATGAGAATGAAATTCTATAGTGCATGTGTCTCCATCCATTGTTCTCTGGGGACTTCTTGAATTGTAACATGCACGTGAATTGCATGAGGTCTGGTGCAAATGCAGATTTTGACTCAGTAGGTCTGAGCCAAAGCCTGAGATCTTGAATTTTGACAAGACTTTAGACAGTGCTCATCGCTCAGCAGCAGGGCCTTCACTTTTGTTGAACAAGCCCCGAGCAATGCTCCTGTAGATCTGTGTCTGACTGTTGAGGCTCGCCTGCAGAGATGCTAAGGCTGGGGGAACTTATTCCAAAGACTGGTAAGGCCATAAGTGATTGTCAGCCACGGGGAGGTGAGGGTGGCATGCAGGAATGGAAAGAAGGGGTGAAGAAAAGTTGGCACATGAGGAAAAAAAAATAAAACAAAGTGTTCTTCAAATGAAAGCTGAGAGGTATGAATAAATTTTCTAATTACTCTAAGAAGTCAAGAAGCTAGTGAGTTACAGAAAAAACAGAGCAGCACCTCCTGCAGCTCCCGGAAGAGGAAATGATGTCACAGCAGAGGTGCCAGGGCCAGGAGCACTGGAATGAAAGGCCTCCTTCTCCAGCCAAGAGAAGTCGGGCCCCAGAGCAGGATATGGCAGCATATGGGAGGAGCTCAGCTCTAGAAGCATTGATTCACTTCTACCTTCACCTCCTCCCAGCTACACCCCTTTCTCACCTCACTGCTTACCCCCAGCACACA